GTTGTTGTTGTTGTTGTTGTTGTTGTTGTTGTTGTTGTTGTTCTCGTCATTGGCGTTGTAATTGTTGCCATGGTCGTGGTCGTTGTTGTCACCGTTTCATGTTCACAGGCGTTCATTAACCTCAGGCATAATCAAAGTAGGTGCTTGTTCCTATTTTCTGTTTCGGTCCCGTCCAAAAATCGTGCCATGAGGCAGGCGGAAAGCGCGCTGGAGCTGCCGCACAAGGAAGCCTGCCCGACGGGATTCCGGTCGGAATACACCCCGATAACGCTGCTAGCGCCGAAGTCTTCCGAAGAGCCTCACGGGCCTTGACCAGAGGGTCCGTGCCTGGGTTCAGGACGCCCAGGAGATGTGGGGATAATTGGGGATACCCCCAGAATTTTGTCTTGCTGTAGTTGTAGTGTGACTATGTTTGCGAAGCTGCAGTTCCATCGTGCTGCCGAACGGGCCGCCTTCTGGTACGTAATAGATCGTGTGAAGTGCTCCTATTTCTTATGAACGGTTAATTTACGGCGTTTTTGTGGGGGGCGGGAAGGAACTTGTGCGCTTGGCTGGGATTGAGAGATACAAAAAGGTGTCGGTTCCTCTTGTAAGGAAACACCTGTTTTGAGCAAGGCTCGAAGCCTAAAGCGTCTCAATGATCGAGCGCGGGATAGTTGCTACTACATGTAAACTGCATGCCATCGAACGGCTGCATGCAAAATGCAGGTTTCAGCCGTGTGTGCGTCCAATCTATTTATCGAGACATCTTTGTTTTATCCACAATCTGAGCCTCGGTTTTCCTGTGAGGATGCACGTTTGTTTCCTCTGAGCGGGCCGGCACGATGTATGGCAGTGAGAAATCGCTCTACGGCGGCCTCACCGTTCCATGCCCTCTTTTTGAGACAAGACATGCTTCAGGCTGGTGTTTTTTGACCGGTGGGCAAACCCCTTTTGGCCAGATCCACAGAGATGATGAGCGTGTACAACCCCCTATTGACTTTTTTTTCTTTCGAAAACGCAACGAGTTCATATCTATCCATCCATAGGTAAAGACTCCCCCAGGATTAATTCGCAACGAATTCATACATGCAGCGATACAGCAGTAGCCGATACAACTACCCGTGTTTCTGTTTAGGAAGGATTCCCCAAAAGCAGCATGGATTTTTCTCTTGGATCTGGGGCGACATACCTTTTGTCCAGTCTCCACCAACAACAGGAGCTTGATTCGATAGTATTGAGCAGAAAAAAGCGCAGGCGCTGCTTCTGTTTGTTCTGATGATCGAAGACATCAAGTTCGGGTTTGAAGCCCCTTGGAGGAGTCCTTTTTTTTTTGTGTGCGGCTGCGCGACCAGTGTTGGACACTTCAACAAAGAGGGCACAACACACACCACCTTCCAAAAATATTTGTTCATCGGAGATCGCGCAGCAGCAGCAGCAGCAGCAGCAGCAGCACAGCGCGGTCCACCGGTAGAAGAGGTCACTGGTACACACGTTTCCGCGCGGCGTGGTATGTGCCGGGTTTTGCGACCACGGGCTCCCCATTTTTGTGGACTATGGAGCTAATGTGAGAGAAACAACCACAAACGTACACACAAGAATCATCTGCTAAACAAGGTATGTGTGTGCTGTGTTTCGTCCAGGTGCTGTACTGACGTCAGCTGTAAGAGGTTTTGATGGACACTACAGCAGTACTGCGGAAAGCGATACATAACCCTTTTTGCAGGCTCCCTATAGTCTATCTCGCGAATAGTCTGGGGATACACGGGTACACATCATTCGAATATCCTACAGCACTGCTGCTATACTGTTTCGTGCTAGTAAAATGCAGGCGTTTTTCTACGCGTATAGTCAAGCACGCGTGGCTTACCCACTGAAAGAAGCGCTTGTTGTTTTGTCAGGATTGCGTTATTGTTACAGGGTTAGTGTCAGCCGAGCTCGAGGTGCCGCAACTAAGCAATGTGATGAACGGCTTTTTTTTTTACTTTTTTTCGGAGATGCGTTGAGATGCCCTCAAAAGATCCCAAAACGTCATACTGTATCCAAACCCGCCGCTCCTGTCACCTGTTGTCAGAGCTGGCTCTCATCACTCATTAAACCCCATCTGACAAACCGTGGCGACTGCTGAAGTGTTACCAGGTTCCCTCCACCCACGCGTCTTCAGGTCGAAGCATATACTGCTGTAAGGACGACGGCCGGGCTGTCAGACCGCGAGCGTTCAAGTGCTCCGCAGCAGCAAGCAGCAGAGAGATTCCGACCACATCGTGTAATTGGACCCAACATCGGAATTCGTGAAAAGTGCGGGTGGGAGATGTGCACATCAACCAGCAGCTGGGCAGCACAACTCCCAAACGCGTCCTTCACTCTAGTCATGAGAATAGGTCTTTGATCTGTCCTGCCTTGCCATCCGAGCTCCAGGGCGCTGTGGTGCGGCGGGGGGGGGGGGGTATGCGTCTGGCGACCCACTGCTGCTGTCTGGTGTAGCCGCTGAACTGGTTTCTTCAATATACTACAGCAGTCTCGAAAGAACGGCGGGCGGCGTCGCAGGCTTCTCTATTCTGCCCCGCAGCAGAGGGGCAGAAGGGGAGTGCGTTGGGGAGGCTCGGCACTCGACGGGCCACAGAAGAAGAACCGGAGGGGTTCTTTCACATCCCCGTGGTGTCTTCCACTTCGTGAACATGCCGTCTACCACTACTACATGTGCTGCCTCTGGGGGCGCTGCTGCCGCCGCGGCGAGCGCAAGAAAGCAGAGATGCTGGCAGTTTCACGTCTCCGGCGTCAGCATCTCCGACACGAAGGGTAAGTTTCTGCTGGAGAGAGAGGGAGAGAGAGAGCGGGGGGGAAGCAGGGGGATTGATGAGACGAGAGAGGGTTGCTTGCTGCTTGACATTGGCCACGCCATTGTACTACGTGCTCTGCGGCCGTCACCATTTTGGAGCTGTCACGAGACGTAGCATCGCCGGCAGCGCCAATAGGTGCCTCTAGAAAAGAAGGAACAACTTATTTTTTCAAGACTTGGAGATTGGAGGTATATACCGTATATGACACAAGATAACACACCCCCTGGACCGATTTTCAAAGCTCGATTACTCCACGACGAAGAGGATGCATAAATGAAACAATACGTTTTCGAACAGCTCTCGACGAGACGGTTCCAACGCCGCCGTTTTCGGCGCTGTGACTCTTCCTGCTGTTGAGAAATCGAGCTTTGAAAATCGGCCAAGGGGGTGTGTCATCTTGTGTCATATACGGTAGTACCTACAGCAGCAGCAGCAGCAGCAGTGAGTGCCAACCTCCAATCTGCTGTCTCTGTCTCTTGGACGCTGTCTCTGTTGTCGAAGTCAAACAGTCAAATCACGGGCGTAACAGCAGTGAACAAATGTGGGCGCGGTTCGTGTTGTTCTAAAGCATAATTATCGCTCTTTGACACACGGCGTATGGACTCCTGATTATTTACGGCGTACACGGGTTGCCTCAGGCGTATTTTGCGCAATGCCGACTCACCATCTGACCGCTGATGCTGGAGTCTGAACTGCGTCAACATGATGAATCATTTCTATCTGTGGTAGACCTACATGACAGGCTCGAACTATGTACACTCTCCGTTGTTCGAAATTTCTGGATACATTATTGTTACTTGTACAATGTATTTAGTCCGGTCGACCCGGTGGTCTACTGGTATCTTCGTAAACCGCTAGTCGCCAGAGGTCGTGAATTCGTATTCCTGTGGGGTGAAAAACTTAGAAATTTGCAAAATTCGCGGGTGAAAGCGAAATATAGCTGAAAAGCTCTCGTAAGTACCAAACTTTGACGTTACAAATAGCACCGTTGACGAGGGAGCGATAGAAATAAAATTCAGCACGCACCGCAGGAGGAAGGTGCGGCATGAAAATAAATAATAATAAGAAAAAAGTCCTGGTGTTTACCCCCTCCTGTGTGACCCTGGATAGTTGCAGTTGTACGAAAAAATACACTGAAAAGTGTAGTACTCTACATACGCTGAACAGTGTAATACACGTCTCACCACGAAAAACGGGGGGACTGTTGCCACAATAAATAGGACGAAAACACACACACACACACTTAGTAGCGTACGTTTTGGCCGTTACGTACAGCAGTAGACTAAATTTGGTTGTCTGTAAAACCGTAGCACAGGACCACCCCTGCGTAATCTTCGGCCAGTAATGGCTCTCGGTGCTCCTACTATATGTAGTCGAGGCGTGATTGTGTCCCATGTTCGTCTACAATCTACAGTACTATACATAAGAGTTGTATGTAATGGGCAGTGTACACGCCTTTGGGTGGGTGATGTATCAGCTGGGTCACGGAGGAAGCTTAATTTTCACACAGCAGACGCTCTTGTTTGTTTTCTTTGCCTCCCTTTCCTGCTTTGGTACATTTTATTTGGAACAATACATACAAACACAGAAAGACTTACATGTTGCCGCAGTAGTTCTTGCCGGCCATCCCGATTCCTCACGCCCGTAGTATGTGATAGTTATTGTCCGCCGCAAATGTTAAATGTTGAACGAAAAAAAAACTCCTGAGAGAGAATCGCTGTGTGTGGAGGGAGATACGCCAACCAGCTGGGCTAGCCCTACCATAATCGAATCGGCACAGGACATCGACGACTGCTGTGCTGCTGCAGGGCAGGGCTAGACAATAGTGGGACCCATCGTGAAGCCGAAATAGTTCCGTCTAGATACAGATAGTTGCTGCCACCCGGGGGCAATGAAGCATCTACCCCATCACCACACACCCCGCCACCCGGGTCTCGCCCTAAAGACTCGAATCGACACAGAGAGCATGTTGACGTCTACAGGCGCTCCGGCACCCACCAAAGCTATGTGTAATGCGCGAAGGGGTGCAACCACTTTTTTCTCTCTGGTGTGTGAACAGTTTTTCTAGACAAAACTTGTCGGTTGAAATGCTCGAAAAAAAGGTGGCCATTCATCCTGTGTCAACAGGAAGCGTGTGGGACAAGCACAACTCCGGCCCGCCGACCTTGCCCCAGGCGTACACGTAGACGAACGTCCTTTGGCTGTGATTCGCATCGCTTGCCTTAAAACTCTTGCATTTCCTCTGGCCAAGTGACACACCAATCGTACACGCAACGGAATACACAAGTTCGCTCTTCTAGTCGTTACCGCTTATTTTGCCAAACCGTCGGTACCTACAGTAGTGTGTCACCTCTTGTCTTTTGAGTTTCCCAGATCGCTTTCCCTTGGAAGCCAAGACTGTCGTCAATGGGCGGTGATCGCAGCACCGGCCTAGGCGCCTATCGAGGGGGCGCAAATCCAACTTCGCCACACAAAAACCGCGCGTGTTCGTTGAAAAAAACTCCAGCTCAACAAGAAGCCGCCTTGGCCACCTTCACGGACACGTACACGGCGACTACGTGGCTGACGGTCAGGCCGGCCACGCCCAGAGGGCCAGTCGGTAGGAGGAAAAAATATGGAACGCTCGACGAGACCGACAGGAAGACAACCGAGAAGGGCGACTCGGAAAGTAGTAGCTCGGGCACGAGGAGTGTGGTCGTCGAGGTACGGTTTTCCGGGCCGCAGCCGGCAGATCGGCCCGCGTTGCTCCTGCGCAGTCTCCTCAAGGGGGAGTCTGTGGCAGCACACCCGGTTTCTTTGCGGCGTGGTCGACAGACGAAGTCGATGAAAGCGGCGGCGGCGGGGGACGAGAGAAGCCGCATTTTCGCCAACGTCAACAGGAGCCCAGGTAAACGTGTGACCCGATAGTGCTGGCAGCATTGGTCGGGTTGATGGAGGATGCAGGCGGAAATTGGTTATTGTTTTTTTTTTTAGTCTTTCCTCCCTTTCTCTCGGGGCTAGCTAGTTTCAGGGTGGTGTTGGTCACGTTGTGCAACAGGCTTCCTCACAAGAGCCGAAGCGACTCGAACGGCCTGGTGTTTGCTGTCAAGCCGGTCTGTGATGCACCGTGTTTCCGACCCCCCAAGGTACGAGAGATGTCATTCCGGTAGTCAGCGCTTCGTCAGTCGAGGTACCCCGATGCTTCCATCGGTATCCCTTTGGCGAGGAATATCTACAGTCGCGAGAGGCAGAAACAAAATGAGGTGTTGCTGTCCGGATCCCCTTGCAGATACGCCGGACGCAATGCTGAAAAAGCGGTCCGCGTCGAAAGCGAATCTGCCTAGCCCTAACGATCCCAGGGACGAAGCGGGCGCTGGCCAGGGGAGGGCCGAAGAGCAGGGGTTGCTGTCGGATGAGGATAATGACTCGGACGACGGTTTAGGCAACCCGTTCAAAGGGCACGGCATCCTCTTCCAAGCGTTTAGTAGGTGAGGCCCCAAGAACATGGATAACGAACGACCTTGCTTCCACAGCCCACGGACGTTGCTTCCACAGCACAGGACGTGTAGACAATGCAAGTAGCTGCGACGACATCACCCCCGATACTCCCGGATGGCACCTGAAAACCCAAAGACGAAGGAGCTGCAGTTTTTGGCTGAGAGAATGATAGATAGTGACAGCGACGCACGTCAAGTTGCAGAACGTGGTACAACAGGTGGCACTTTTTCGCTGGTCTCAGTAGTTTTCTAGCCCGCTTGGGTACAGCCCGGTTGCATGCTGAGGTTACACTCTCGTTTTCGCGTGTGCGACCACAGAAAGCTTTGTCACACCGAAAGCTCCAGACCGAGTGCGGGGAAAGGTTGCTCCTAAACGTCAACAACGGCGCGGTGAAAAGTGTCGTTCCAGGCGGCATAGATCACAGCTCACGAACACCATACTATGGGTGGGCTAGTATGTTGCGGATTCGAACGTTGGAGGTGTTTTGATCTAGCCGAACCCCAGAGACCACTGTTTACTTAGCAGGCTACATGTAGACGCTGTCTGACTCGCGGGCGGTTTTGTTGGGAAGCCTGTGGTTTCGCAGTTGCGGGGTCATAGCCGATGCCTGGCACACAAAAAAGTGTCCCATCCCTGCTGTGACTTGTACACCTGTACTGATAAATGATGCTCCAAACAGCTTTGCTCTATTTATCAAGCACGCCGAAGGGCATGAGACGCCAGGTGTGACCTTGTACGGGGTTTGTACACGATGGGGAATGACAGATAGTGCCGCCCAAGCGTGTGTTACAACAGTCTCTCCGGGCTGCCCATGTGTAGCAAGAACTACCGCCCGTTGGCGTAGACGTGTTCTTTAATTGAGCGACAAATCAAGAGCGCACTGTGTCCGAGGCAACTCTCCTGAATGACAGGGGCTTCGCCACACCATCGAGCGGCGACCCTTAAATCCTACGGTCCTACACGTAAACCGCCTAAGAGTGCCCCCCGTATTTTTATCATGGGCACTAGGTCCTAAGAGAAACCACTCACACGCCAAGGTGCCTGTTGTCGGTGACGACATCAATATGCCACGAAAAACCAGGTGCATGGATCTCTCGAGGTGGGCACCTGCCAACGAGACAAATGCCGGCAAAGGAGTCGCGGAGGAGGACCGCGGAAGTCGTGGCGGACCTAGCGCTCTCAAGAGCAGCGCCGTCAACATCGACCAGGGACATGCTGCCGGCGAAGCCGAATCCGGGTGGAACCTCAAAATGGGAAACGATGCGAGAGACGACCTGGCGGGCTTGTGGGGGGGGGGAGGGAGCAACAACCTCTCGCCCCTCATCGTAGCGCCACCTCGGTCTCCTTTCCGTCGACGAGCTTCGGACACCGCCCTTGATCGCGTCGCTGGTCCGGCGCTGACCAAAACGGCCGTTTCGCCGCTGACGGTTCAGGCGCCTCCGGCGGCACGTCGCACGCGATCTGAGGACGGTTTGAAGGATTCGACGTCCGAGAGCGATCTCAGTTTGTTGCTCCCCAACAGGAATCGTCCAGAGCAGACACATCGAGCTCCTTGGAGCGGGTGTGATGAAGACCACGACACAGCGATGAAGTGGGAAATGGGGGAGGGAGACGTAGGGAGTGACGCCTCGGCGGCACCGAGGGGATGCGGCAACGGATTAAGCGATAATTCGTCATCCGTAGCGGCCTCGGCAAGGGAGACGGGCGACCGGGAGAAGGGTCCATCGGAGAGAAGAGCGGAGAGTGCTGCCAACGTGATAGCGGTGGAGTCTCTAAGGGAGGTGAGGACGTCGAGGCGAAAATGGGTTTGCGGTGTGAGTGAGACGAAACGTTGTACTTCCGTCCAAGCTTGCCGCGCTCAAATACTGGTTCACCTTTCTTGGGAGACGCACGGGGCTCGGTCGGTTACTCGATTACGTGTGGGGTTTTGATCGGAGAAGACGAGAGGTGTAGTCTACCTTTCCTCCACTGTTCGAGATCATCATGTTGCTGTGGCTCCGCAACCTGGCTTTGGCGTCTAGCGGATGCGTGAGGTCTGCAGTCAGACGTGCAGGAGGAAATGCACCCCAATTGATGGCTGCACCTCGCTCAACTCAACAGGTTGACGGATCCGTTGCCACCAATGACTTTGTTCGGGCTGCCCGTTGTGTAGCGGTTATCGCGTTGTCGCCTCCCGAAGCGTGTTGTTCTACCTGATGAGACCTTTTCCATGTTCGTGTCGACGGCTTGGAGCCATCCAAACTCGACGCCAGTCGAATCCTTGCAGGAAAAAGGACGACTATGGCTGCCTCGCTTCACAGAAGAACTAGCTTTCTAGAACTAGCTTTCTCGAGTTTCCCTGGTATATAAATTGGCATTGATCCAACAACATGTGCAAAGCATTTGCCAACTCTCGCGACGATAAACCCCTTCCCGTGCCCAGGAGTTCGACTTCGACGGCCGTTCGTACCAGCCAGACAATCCGCCGAAGGACTCGCCTTTCGCCTCAGTCTTCTCCGTGCCCTGCAGCGACGAGGCGCAGTACCTCGCGTTCACGGGTCTGGGACACACTGGGCAACCGTTACGGATGCTGACCGCTAGGGTCCAGTTCTCGGTCAACTCTGAACGCACAGCGGAAAGCGTGGTCGGACCGCTCCAGGCAAGACTTCGCTGCAAAGAGAAGCGCGCTTGTTCGGCTGTTTTTCGGAACGGATGATGGCGACGGCTCGGTCGTGGCAGATGAGGCGTGTTCAAACGTCCCTAGCCAGGACCGACGCTGTACGAAAAGTACCAAGCGCTTCTCCGGTGTGCAGTTGCTGACGTGACACGAATGAGAAAACGCCAATTGTTTAGCACCTCCTTGGTGCGAGTGATTGCTGCAAGAACGACACGGTTCATCAACCTTTCGTGGCTCACACACATGCGATCACCCCGAACCGTCGTTTGGTGGCGCTACCCCTTGCTTTCGTCCAGGCCGGGGGCAACGGGCGTGTGTACGGTGCGTTGCGGTATCCGAGCATGAGCGAGCTCTGGCCGGAGATTTGCAGCACGTCGGCCGTTCGAGTTGTGCAGGTATGGTTCGTTCATTTTGATTTCGCAGCTACGGGAGCAGGGAATAAAGCCTGTGGGAGTAGGTGGAGGACGCCTACAATAACCTCGCGAAAGGTGCCTCTGTACGAGATGACATTACTCACCGACTAGCGAGCGAGACCCTAGACGTCCACCTTCCATAGGTAAGGGCAATGTATTCGGCCAACATGAGGTACCGGAGTTGGCGTGGAGGGATGGCTGATGATACCTGACTGACTCTATTATCTTGCCCAACTTACGATTTTTGCCTTGCTGGCTTCTTTTCTGGCTTCTTTCTGTCAAGGTGGATACGCTCGTGGACATCCGATCAAGGCAAGGAGATTTTCTGTTCCTAGGAAACGGACCCAAGGTGGGCACACATATGTTGGCCTCTTGTTTTGTTCAGTATCGGTAACGGTAAACACAACGCGGTTGCCGAAACTTGTTAACGTACGGTGTTGCGTACGTCTCATTGTGACAGCTGCACATGGCGAGAAAAACTCCCGAGCGCTGAAGAGAAGAATATGTTACTTGGCGAAATCAGCCATCCTCCCCTCTCTTTAGTTGCATCACCCTGTGTCGAGAGGTACGTGACTCTTTCACTTACAACCTGACTTTCTCAATAATATATGGCAACTTCTTGGCGCAAGTGGTCAAAGCTTTATCCTCGGTCCTTTGTGCAGTCCCCCGCAAGTTGGGGCGGATTGGGCGACGAGCGGACATCGCTCAGGTGCATACACGACTGGCTTTTTATTGTGAAAACGCAGCGATGGCGTGCCGTTTTTGTTTGACGGGTATCACCCTTATCTGTGTGTGCTCTGTCTGAACGTGCTGCGTAGGTAACGTATCGACAAGCGCAGGTGCACAGCAGCAGGAAGGGAGCGTCATGGGGACCGTAGCCGGAGCAATATCGAAATGGTCAACAGGGATTCGGTGGAATAGCATGGGTCAGCAAAGAGATGCTGTAACTTGCTCATGCGGAACTGGTCTTCTCTCTACTGGCGCTGCTCTACGATTTCAATGCAGCAGTGTTTGGGAGTACGAAGTAGAATTTGCCACAAACAAGCGGGATCATGTATCATCTAGGGAGGGTTTTGATCGCTGTTCCCGCACGGTTTCGAGGGCATCGGTAAGTGATTGTCAGAGTACCAGGTAGATGACTGAAGTAGGCGTCTACATAGAACTACGGGAGGTATTATCGGATCATGTTTTACGGCTGCAGTTTGTTGTACTGGGGGTAGATACGTGGCAAGCTCCGCACATGCGTTGTTTGTTGGTCGATCGGGACAGCAGTGTTTTTTTTCGCCGGAGGTGTTCTCTCGCCCTTTACGTTCCCGATTCATACATTCGTCATGTATGGCAGTGTGAGAGCAAGCAATACGCCGAGGCAGCAACACTGCGGGATGTGTGACGGTTTCGCTTCAATCGAATAAATTCAGGCCTTCGCCAGGGCCTGTAGATCAATACCATCAATACCCTTACGTGGAACGTGTAGCCGAATGTGTGCCGTGGACAGCAGTGGAGGATACCCCTCGAACTCACGTGCACCAAGGAACGGGAAATCACTCTCAGCCTGATTTGTTTCGCAGCCAACAGACTTCAGGCCTCACTGGGGATCGCAGTACTTCCTCTTAAAAAAAACAGGAAACGCCTGGAAACGCCTGCATATCTCGGTTTTCCAAAGTCTAACTCCAGTACGAAACTACCATCGTAAATTAACCGTCCGCAGCGGTCGCTTGTGTACAATGTTAGTAGCTGAGATTGTACCCCTTGCGATACACTACAGACTAACGGTCCGCGATTTTCCAAACGATCCTTCTATCATCGAGTTCGGTGAGCTACAAGCTAGATTTTTCAAGCTGCTGTGCGGCCCAATTTTGAAACGCTTCAAGCACACGGTGAACACGAATCACCGCCTATGTGAGTGTATGGGGCCGCGAACTTCAGCGCAGCTCTTCCCTCACATATCCAGCTGGTCGCCATTGTCGATTTGAATGCCTAGGGTCATGTATATGCATGTCCAGCCTTTTTAGGCAAAGGTGCTTGAAGCGTTCCAAAATTGGACCGCACAGCAGCTTCAAAAATCTAGCTTGTAGCTCACCGAACTCGATGATAGAAGGATCGTTTGGAAAATCGCGGACCGCTACATGTAGTCTGTAGTGTATCGAAAGGGCTACAATCTCAGCTGCTAACATTGTCCACAAGCGACCGCTGCGGACGGTTAATTTACGATGGTAGTGTCGTACTGCAGTTAGACTTTGGAAAACCGAGATATGCAGGCGTTTCCTGGATTTTTCAGAGGAGGTACTGCGATCCCCAGTGCGCCCTTAACTACAACTGCTGGCAGGAACCAAGGCGTTTCGGTGATGGTATCGAAGAGTCTCACTGGAACTATGCCAGGGCCAGGCATCAACACTCGCTGACGTGGCGTAAATGCCCAATGTTCTATTTATAGCGTGCACGATGCTTCATCGGTCAGATGGGCTGGCTACAAGACGTAGGTTTCCCTCATTGTGGTCCGATCAAATTTGGTCCGATATCGCACACAGCTGTACTTGTAGTCGCGCCGGATACAGGATGTCGCCATGCCTCAAATCTTCAAATCTTCCAATCCTCAAGTCATCACGTCATCACAATTTGCTGAACCCAGAACCAGTTTTTTTATGGTTTGCAGATGGTTCTTGTACAAAGCAGACGATCGGTTCGCGTCCGGCGGTGTTGCGTTTCGACCACAAGTACACGTGCATCCATACCACGTCGTCATGTGTTTGATGACGCCCTGTGATGTACAGTGCCGCAACGCCTCACACGCTGCTCATCATACTATCCACGCTACCTCATCCAACGCGAAGCATTGGTAAGACAACGCGTTTCTGCCCCCGTCGCTTCTATGTGCACGCGCCTCGCAGAAGCACCCCCAATAGTACAGCAGTGCTACGAGACTGAGAGAGATACTTGCCGCAGACGCAGCGTAGTCTGTGTACAAGCGTCGATCCCTATCCGCAGTTCCACTGATAGGTATACTCTGCTGCCGTCTTATCGGGAACGTAGGAGGGCGAATGAGCTACTGCAGTACAAGGCCTACGGTGATCACTATTTTTCACTGATGTCTGACGGTAGCTCACGAAGCCGACTTCACTGATTCATGGACTACAGTGCATAGTGTATGATATGTGCATGCCCTTCCCCATGCCCAGATTGTCTCCATTGACTGAAAGGAATTTTCACATAGTTCTTGCATTATTCGAGTCTGCCGCGTTGGGCCTTTTATGCTGATCCGTAAACGCAGCATTGGTTCCGGCACCTTTCTGGGAACGAACTTCACACAGACTCTCAGATTGTCGGGACAAAAGAGTTTAGGCCATGTGCTCAAGATTTGCTGTCTGGAATCTGAAAATCCATGTCGTACGGTCAATGCAAGAGCTTTTTAAAGTCTAAATATTTCGTGCGTTATTCATGTAACCAGGTATTCAGTTGTAGTCTTGGCAACGAAGCGATTCAGTACATGTAACTGTCAATGACGTACATACACCCCCGGTCGAACGCAATGCTTGAAACGTGTACTCAGAGAAAAGAGACATCAATGTAGGGTCGAGGATCAATTTCGTTTATTTTTGGCACCGTCGAGCTCAGATTACTCAATGGTCGACTTTAGATTGGGATCCACCGCCGCCGCTGCGCGAAGTGTTTTTCAGCAGTTTTTTCTTATTTTTCGACACGATCTGAGTCTGTTTAGTCTTGTTGTCTTCACACTAACCATTTTTTTTCTTGTTGACGGACGTCAACAACACATCAGAGTCGGTGTGTTCAGCGAAATGAAACAGAATGACACACATACAGCAGGGTAATGGGAAATCTCACGTACACGCCTGTTTGAGCGTTCGATTTGAACGACTTTTGCACGGTTCGAAACTCGCAAACCAGTATCCATCGTGCACCTTCCAAACCTCTCATCATTAGCAACGTGCCAGATCGAAAGAGCTCCCGCCTCTGGTATTAATAGTTCACGTTCGTACGGTCAAGACAGCATCTGACGTTTCCCCCTCACCTACATTTGTTTGTTGTCGCTAACAGCTCTCAGGTGTGCCTTCCTCCTTGCTCGAATCAATACTGATATGGCGAGAGCACGGGGTCGAATAGGGGTTTCCATGGCGTTGCTGGGGAGCGTTCTTCTTAACGGCTCCCCGTCGGTCTCAGCGCAAGGCGGGGGTGGGGGTGGTGGAGGGGGGCAGCAAGTGGCATCGGGCACGGAGTGCGACGGAATGAGTTCTGCCGACTACTCAGAAAGTCTGAGGTGACGAAGTGCAGCAGATGCTACTGTAGAACATATAGGTGGTATCCTGAGCTTCTTTCCAATGTTTCAAAATTTCATTACATTCACCCTTGTTGGCGTAAAGGTTAATCTAGACGAGTGTGCCTCGTATCTGCCGTGGCATGAGTTTCTCATGCATTGCCCATGATTCTTCTACTGGCAGCATGGAGAGGACTGATTCGTGCGACGCAAGGCCGTAGGGTGGCTCGAAGCTGCGAACCATATTGAATGACGTGATGCAGTATATAAAACCGTAGTCTACATGTTGTTCCTGTTTCTTCGTGTATCGACCACGTTGGAATAGCCGGTCGATGTCAAGCGTTATTCAACAACGTGTACCGAACCGCAAAATTCGAGCACTCTTGCGTGAGGCAGCTGGGCCATTATCAGCCATCTGTGCGTTTCCGGCTGAGAGCTTCGTGGATGGCCTAATTACACAAAGTCCAAAATGCTGCAATGTCTCCACTGGTGCATAGAGCATCAAAGAAGCTTCGTAGTTGGTAGGTAAAAGACTTGTCAACGTCTCGTGCGTACCTAACACCTACGGCTGCTGATTTGTTGATGTTGTCTAGCCTCCAAAGTTGTATCACTCCAAGGTCGAGCCTAGTGTCACCAAGTCGACACTGCTCTTTCCCTCTCTGAAACCTCCTGCATGAAACACGCGGATGGCATACGCTACAGTGGGACTGGAACCACGATGGAAAGACAAGTGGGGTCAACGACAGGCTGTCCGAACCATGTGCACTACTCCATCAACCCAAACTCTGCAAAGGTGAGCGACTTGCACGACACACGCTACGTCGAAGACGAACCCGCGCCTTGCGTTTATGCAGGTTCCCTTTTGAGAACATCACATTTTCCGAGCTACTACGGAGCGTAGCACAGTCAGCGGACGCTCCAGCGAAACTCTGTATGACTCGGTGAATTCTACTACAGTACCTTGCCTTTCGCTAATACGTCGATACTCGACGGCCAACACCACGGGAACAAGAGCTCCAGCTGCAGAATCTCGGAAGGGATCAATACGTTTTCTAATGGGTCTGTAATTTGTTTCGACGAGAACATATTCACTCTAATAATGGAAATGTATGTCTGTCACAAGCTTGGTTTCTATTTTGCATTTTCCGGGGTGTTCCGTCCCCAATCGTAACTTTCGCTCGTGTGCTGCGCTCATCGTGTACTGCACATTTCTCAGGAATCTGTCTCAGAACAATCTATCCCTGCCTACCCGATGCTCATCGATTCTTCCGGGGGGTCGACAGATCTCAGCGAACAGGGGAACCAAGTTGCGATCATGCTGAATGGAGTATCCGTGTTCAGGTGTGTTCCTCTCCTTGGTGTTCAGAAGGCGCCACAACCAATGTACCCGCGAGTGCGTCCTGTGGATACACGAAGCAAAACTGCAAAAAATGTTTTCCTCAGAGCCGCCCTTGGGCATCAGCACCCAAAGTCACCGCTATTGAGACTTGGGGGCGAGCAGCACAGCAACACGCCGTAGATAAACGCTCTCTCGTTCAGCTGTCATCCCGTCCCATGCCCTCACTCTTGCCACAACCCATTCTCCCCTTCAGCCCGGGATCACATCCATACCAACCAAAGCACCGATGTCCTGATATTACAAAAGTGGATATGCAGATGGGGTTGCAGCCACTACGTACGAGACGTCTGCAACCTACCTGGAGGGGAGCAGTTTCGATCTCTGCGGTGGGCATTCTACCTTTGACGGGACGTACCATTACCACAACACCCCCGGTTGTCTTCAAGAGCAGGTACGTACCTCATGTAGATTCCTTGCCGAAATAAGGAGTTGTTTCGTAGATCCGTGCACTGCATGACCAGTCTTGTAGAAGAGTCAGCCGGGTTGAACGCGGACCTCTGCATCGTGTTTGGCTGATCGTGACCACTCAAGAGCAAGCTTGTACCACTTGGCCTAAGGAAACACGCAAACAGTGACAAAATCGTCAACTCCTAGCGGGACGCGTCTGGGACTGCCAACTTTGCAGCTAGGCATGGTACCGTAGATTGTCCTTCTCATGTTTTCCATTGCGTCACGAGTCTGCATCGAAACTCTTTTGATTGCTGAGTAGTTTCAAGCACGAACCAACGTACGCAATGGTAAATGTGGGGCGATGCTTGTATTTTTTTTGCTGGATGCTTTGATGAGA